AGCTGTTCCCATGAGCATCGGCAGGGGGACTCCAAAAAGCCAAGATGGTAGTTGCGATGACAGGTGCATAAAAAGAGCAGGGTTTTGACCCCCACCCCCACTTCCAGAAACCTGAAGACAGGAAAATCAAAGGGTCATCCTCTATGTAGAACTTTGCACTGCTTAGTTGCTGAAGCATCAGAACGGGACAGCAACCCATTTTGGAGGAAAGACATGGATGTCAGCCTTGAGTCTCCTCCCTCCCATTGCAAATTTATCTTTCCCTCTTATGTTGCATCGAGTGCTGCGGCTTGTTTCAGCTGCAATGCTTTCCTTCCTTCCCGGTTCATCCCAGCAATTCCTTGGCTACTTCCCAGAAGAGTAGCTACTTCCCTCAACTGAAACAAGAGTTGCCCTGATCCAAGAGATTCTACGACCCTAAACTTCTGCCATCAGTATTAAAATAACACAGTGGCTAACAGTTTTGCCTGGTTAGCGGCAGGTTGCTGGTTCAAATCCCAGCAGAAACTTTTTTAAAAAGTATTTTCTTTCTTTCAGCTATCTATCTTTCCCTAGCTCTTTTAGGGCCTTTTTTAAAAAAAGGGTAGAATGCAGGGGTTCCAGCATTTGGATTATTGGATTATTTCTCCAATCACTTGAGTGAAATGAAGTAATATTTCTAAAAGGTTTCTGCCGAAACAGCAACCTCTTACATACTAGGTAAAGCTCTTAGCCACCATGCTAAGAGCTTTACCTAGCTCTTAAATTCATTAGAGTGCAAAACGGCTGGAGAGCAGGGAATTTTGATTTTAAAGCTGCTTGTTATGCATATTGATGATTTTATAAATTAATTTGCATTTGGGTGATTTAATATCTAAATTAAAATATCTAAATTAGTATATATGAATCCTAACTTTACTTTGCATGCATTTGTTTTTATGCTTATTTATATGTATTTGTGCATGTACTACACACACATATGCACTTCCACTCACAGGAGGAAGTGAGTGGTTTTCCTAGAACAGAAAGCTGGGAGGCACAGCAGCAACGAGAGGATGTTGTAGCCTCTGGTCAGGACTGAGTGTTCTGCAAGCTGTGGTCAAAGTCCAGACAGGATTTTCTCAAACCAACTTATATTCAAGCCAATGTGAGTACAGACCAGGAGTGGCTTACATGCTAAGGGTGTATATCCATATATCAGCTCCCAATACTTTTTGAATTAATGGCAAGCTGGGTATATATTGAAAAGGAAAAAAAAAGGAAAAAACTGTGGGGATTCCAAAATAACATACATTACTTTTGCAAGCAAGAGCAAAATTCTATTGAAGTCGCTTGACATTTCTGACAAAGGAGCGCTTCCCAAAAGCAGACTGTTTCAAACTCCAAGATTTGGCTGGATCACTGGTAAGGGGAAGTCACTACAGAAATGAGATCCCAGTAGGAACTCCAAAACTCTCAAGTTTTCTTTGAGTTACCATAATGTCATTACTAAAAGAAGAGAGGTCGTGTCTCTCATCTGCTTTTTGTTACTTGGAGCAGCAAAGAATTTCTGAGCTTTTGACAGCTTTCTTTCTATGGGGAAGGAAACATCCATCAAGGGCAGCGATGGGTACCCCTAGGAGCTGTTTTTCAACAGGCACAAGTGTAGCATCTGTTAACAGGAGCTGGCAGACAGGACCTCTGCTCTTTATTTATCAAAAGCTGATGGACTAACTAAAATAAAACCATATAGTGGGTCAGTAGGGGGTTTTCCGTACTCAGAGGCCTTCAGCTCATACTACTCCTGTGGCAGCCACCATCAATTTTACGAAGGCAAGATGCAGAGGACACAAAATTGGGTGGGACAGCTAATACTTTAGAAGACAGAAATAAAATTCAAAACAATCTGGGTAGGTTAGAGAAAAGAAACCGAAGATAATAAATGTTTACAGAAGCAAATGCAAATCTTTCACTTAGGCCACAGAAATCAAACACAGGGGTATAAGATCAGGGATTCCAAGCTCTGCAGGATCTTGGAACTGTAATCAATTATAAGCTGATTATCTGACAGCAGCATGATATGTTTGCAAAGGCAAACACAATTTTAGATTGTAACAATAAAGCTACTGCTTACAAAAAGGAAGTAGGGTAATATTTTGCATCAATTTTGCATCAATGGATCCCAGTTCAGTCTCACCTAGTTCTGCGTAGCACACTTTAAAGATTCAGATAATAAACCAGTTCATATACAGAGAAGGGCAGCAGGGTTGTTCAGGGAACTAGACACGAAATCCTGTAAGGAGACAGTGGCAACGGAATCTGTTTAGCCTTGAGAAGACTGACAAGGGAAGGGACACGACAGCACTTTTCAAAGTGTTGAGAGAAACTTCTTAACAGTAAGAGCGGTTGCATGGTGGAAGCAATTTCCAGTGTAGGTAGCAGACTCCTTTTAGCAGATGGATTCAAGGCGATGCTAGACAGTCATCTACAGTGGGGTAAAAAAGTATTTAGTCAGCCACCAATTGTGCAAGTTCTCCCACTTAAAAAGATGAGAGAGGCCTGTAATTTTCATCATAGGTATACCTCAACTATGAGAGACAAAATGGGGAAAAAAATCCAGAAAATCACATTGTCTGATTTTTAAAGAATTTATTTGCAAATCATGAGACAAAATGGGGAAAAAAATCCAGAAAATCACATTGTCTGATTTTTAAAGAATTTATTTGCAAATCATGGTGGAAAATAAGTATTTGGTCACCTACAAACAAGCAAGATGTCTTGACCAAATACTTATTTTCCACCATGATTTGCAAATAAATTCTTTAAAAATCAGACAATGTGATTTTCTGGATTTTTTTCCCCATTTTGTCTCTCATAGTTGAGGTATACCTATGATGAAAATTACAGGCCTCTCTCATCTTTTTAAGTGGGAGAACTTGCACAATTGAGACAAAATGGGGAAAAAAATCCAGAAAATCACATTGTCTGATTTTTAAAGAATTTATTTGCAAATCATGGTGGAAAATAAGTATTTGGTCACCTACAAACAAGCAAGATGTCTTGACCAAATACTTATTTTCCACCATGATTTGCAAATAAATTCTTTAAAAATCAGACAATGTGATTTTCTGGATTTTTTTCCCCATTTTGTCTCTCATAGTTGAGGTATACCTATGATGAAAATTACAGGCCTCTCTCATCTTTTTAAGTGGGAGAACTTGCACAATTGAGACAAAATGGGGAAAAAAATCCAGAAAATCACATTGTCTGATTTTTAAAGAATTTATTTGCAAATCATGGTGGAAAATAAGTATTTGGTCACCTACAAACAAGCAAGATGTCTTGACCAAATACTTATTTTCCACCATGATTTGCAAATAAATTCTTTAAAAATCAGACAATGTGATTTTCTGGATTTTTTTCCCCATTTTGTCTCTCATAGTTGAGGTATACCTATGATGAAAATTACAGGCCTCTCTCATCTTTTTAAGTGGGAGAACTTGCACAATTGGTGGCTGACTAAATACTTTTTTGCCCCACTGTACCTGCAAAGGCCAACAGGTTGGACTCAGTGCCAGGGCCTAAATGCCAACTCCGATCCTAGGAAATATTAGCCTACGAAAAGTAACCAGTTGCTTTGATGAAGGTTTCGCTAGTGATGCTCCTAGGGACAGAATGAAAGTGGTCTCTCATTTTGGGACTTTGCTTACTACGTAACCTACACCCCTGCATGAATTTCAGTGGATTCCCCACACCTAGAGATGTTAGTAGAGATTGCTGAGCAAAGTCCTGTGAGGACATGTTTCTTATGCACAACCTTGGAACACCACACAAGCGAGCAGGTGAGAATGTATATATGTTTATTTAGTAAATATATATGTCACTCGATCCCAATGTTTTAGGTGGCTTAAACATGTATGTTTCAGGTCCACACATAGAACCACCTAGAACTGCCTGTTCTGTGCATAGAACGCTTTGCATAATCTCACCATCAGGAATGGTGAACGAAAAAAGGTCAATGCTTCTGAATTGTGGTGCTGTAGAAAATTGTTGAGAATACCTTGGAATGCAAAAGGAACAAATAATTCCCTATAAATGAAATAAAATCAGACTGCTTTCTTGAAGCACTAATAAAAAAGCTTAAGTGTGCTGAACACATAACATGAAAGCAGAAATAAACAGAGAAGACCCTGAGGCTTGAAACTATGGAAGAGACCACTAGCAAAACACCCCCATTTGCAGTTGTAAGCCACCTTTCCTTCTCCATGCATCTCACGGCTAGCTAACCCAAACCCAACTTTTCAATCAATATTGGATCCATTAACTCAGTACTAAGTGTTTATAATGAAAAGGTATGTATAACAGATGTATTGTCAAAGGCTTTCACGGCCGGCATACGATGGCTGGTGTGGGTCTTCCGGGCTGTGTGGCCGTGGTCTTGAAGTTTTGTTTCCTAACGTTTTGCCAGCACCTGTGACCGGCATCTTCAGAGTGCAGGAGCACAGACAGGAGCAGTTCTCTCTGTTCCCCTGTGCTCCTGTCTGTGCTC